TAGTCTCATTCTTGTTTTGAAAATTAAGATTTTTTAATCTTTTTCAATAAAATTTTATTAAAATGACATAATTTTAAGGTATTTTTTTACCCTTTTTTGCAATTCAAGCTGATATATACTTAATTTTCCACAAAAAAAAATATAAACTTATTTAATAGCATTAAAATTATTTTTCTTTTTATTTATCAAATAATCATGATAATATATTACAAAAACACAAATAAAAATAAATGAGTTTTCTATTTTGAGTTATAAAATTTTAAAAACAAAAAAATAAAAATAAAAGTTACAACTATACTAAACAAAATCTTATTTAATAATATTAAATTATTTTTATTTTTAATTCTCTAATCATTATAATAATATGTTGAAAATCACACATATGAATTAAATGAATTTTTATTTAAAATTACAAAATTTATAAAAACTAAAATTAAATATCAAAAACCTCTCTAGGAAGTAGAGCCTAAATTGTTAAAAATTTAGCGGACTTCATTCAACTTTAGAGTGTGTACAAGTTTTCTACATATTTTTTTAGTTAGCTCTTTAGTACATTGTGTGTATTTTTTTATATTTTAAATTATACAATAGAAGATAATTTTTTTTTTAACTTTTAACTTAGCTAATCTATATATTATATGATTCAAATTTAAAATATTTTATTTTTATTAAAAAAATTGTCATTAAAATATTTAAGTCGTTGGTTACATTGTGTGCACTTTAATGATTGAACTCTATGATTTGTATACTTGTATTGATTTGTATTTTATATATAATAGCAATAATAAAGTGTTCCCTTTACTAGTAAAAAAATGAAGTTTATTTACTTTTTTGGGCAGAGTAAGTTTAGTTATGTGAAGAGTCCATTTAGTTTTTGTCCATTTTTAGCAATACTAAATAAAAATAAAAATAAATTAATTTTATTTATCTATACTTAAGTTTAGTATAAAATTTAATTTTAGTTATTAGTTTCAATAAGGGAAATGAACATCCACCCAATGAACCAACACCCATCTCATCAACACCCATGTTGTTTGAACAGTAAAATGAGGAGGGGTAAATTTATAATTTTATTGTTTAAAACAACATGAGTGTTGAGATGGGTGTTGGTTCATTGGGTGCATGTATCATTGTCCTTTCGATAATTTATTAAGGGATTATCTAACCTATACTTCAATATAATCTATGCTTTTAGAGCTCATGTTAATCATGTGTTTATTGTTTAATTATTTTAGGAAAGATACAAGGTGACTATTGTTTTATTAACTGCCCTATAAAAATTATTCAACTGGCATTGATATTGAAATAAAAATTAATTTTTTAATTTTTTTATACAAATTAAAAATGAAAAGGTGTAATAAATACAAAAAATATTGATATATCCTCTAGTTCAACAAACTCTTTAATACCCACTAGTTTAACTATTAAAATTTATAGTTGAAAGTTTTCTTGTCTTTAATTCAAATTTAAAAATAATAATTTTTTAATAAATATGTTGTGGAGTGTATTTAACAAATAAATGTATCAATTATTGTCAAATAAATACACAAGATAGAAAAATACTTTGTTTAATTATGTGACATCTAAAGGTAGCAAAAATCCGCTCGACTCATTAACTCGACCCAAACTCAACCCATAAAAACAAGTTAAGGTCTATATATCCCAACTCGTAACCTATAGATAACTCGTAATGTCAACTCGTACAGGTCACGGATCAAGTTAGGATCAATTCGTAAGTTAACGAGTTAACCTGTTTGTTTTATTTTTTTATTATTATTTTTAAAAATATTATAGTTATTATTCTTAATTAATTTTTCTATTGATAACTCTCTTCATTAACTCATACTCTTCAACCTCATTTCTATTACTCAAATGGTTTTGAACTTATTTTGAGTGCTTACTCATCATAATGAATTAAAGATAAAAAAATATTAGCAAGTATAATGAATTAAATGATAATTCAACTAAAAATATTAAAGATGTGATACTAGGATATAAACATGATAATTTAGTGAAAGATGTTCTTGGAAGAGCAACGTTATCGTAAAAAAGGGCTTAAACTCCTTGATAATGTTTCAAAATGATTTTAAAATTAAAATTTTATTTTCATGAAATTTAAATATTTTAAGTTTAATATTGTTAATCAATTTACTATTATTTGTAACTTTATGATTTTTTTTTAAAATTTAAATGGTTGTAGTTGAGACTATAAAATACTTAATGTTAATAAGTTACAATACTTTAATTAGATTTAGATATATATAATTTTATTTGTATATAATAAAATTAATAAAAATAATTATAAAAAATAAAAATAAGGCCAACTTATTGGTTAATCCATAACATGTAAAAATAAAAATAATTAGGGTTAGGTTGGATTTTTTCAACCTACAATCCATTTTCGACCCAACTTGTAAAACCCGTCACCAAGTTAACCCAACCCAACCCCGTCCATTTGCTGGGCCTACATCTAAATTTGATTGTACAAAAATCTTTCCCTCCCCTCTTCTCCTCACTCTTTTACTCTCCCTCTGTTAAAGAGTGAGTTTGGTCTAAGAGAAACAGGGATTGATCAATATTACAATTTAATTAATAAAAAAATTCGTTTCTCCACTCCTTTCTGTTTTCTTCAAATTAATCAAACATACCCATAATTAAACTTACAAAGTCAATTAATTAAAATTTTTATACTTTTATGAATTTTCAGTGAATTCAATAACTCATTTGTGCTCATTTCATTAAAAGAAAAGTTAGATACGTTCCCCGCATGGCATGGTCATGTAAACTAGTATGATACATGCATATCAACGTTGGCAC